TCTTGATGCTTCCAAACCTTTGATTTGTTGCCTACACACTAAGGCCTGATAAACTATGTTCCCCCTATGGATGGAAAATCAAATGAAAATAAGACAAATAAGAAAACACAGGCTGTCCATGGAAAGAACAGAATTATTAGCAAGTGAATATACTAAAGCTTAAAATCATATTAATATAAAATTCAAAACAAATTTATTAATTCAGAATAATGTTTTACCAATGTTTCCTGGACTAATGGAATTTACTAAGGTAAAGAATTTATGGTAAATTTAAATATTTATAGTTTTGCTTTAAAAGTGATTCTTGTTTGTAAATCTTGGTAAAGGAATTTTTGAGGCTAATCATTGTACCCTTTTCTAGCTGCTTTGAATTTGATTTTCCCACTGCTTTCCATAAGACAGTTGTTTAGAGATTAGAGCTCTCTAATTTTCCCCCTTTTTATATAATCAGTTTACTTATGAAAGCAACTCAAGTCAACACGTAAGATTTATGTCCCATCTCATCGCCCACAAAAAACACCAGAGTTTCTCTACAAGAACTAGTTCACACATGGTTTCTCCTGCCAATGTGAATTTTGAAAAGGAAGAAACAAAGAAAATTTTTACTATTCTTCTTTGATCAGACTTTACATACAGAGATGAGGGAGAGCTTCGTACTTTTTCTGCCAGCTTTTGCTGGTCATCGCAGGAGCTTAATCTCTAGTTTTTAGAGTAAGTAAAGTATCCCAGAATCTCCTAGCTCACTCATTAAGAAATGTAGAGCAGTATAATTATCTTTACCCATCTTAGTTCTTTTTCAGTATCAGGCTGGGTCTAAGAGCCAGATTAACATGAGGCAGATGAACAGGAGAAAAGCACACCATTTTTATTGATTTTTACATGTGCATGGGGATACTTTCAAGAAGGCCCAAAGAAATGTGCATGTCAGGAAGTTTTTATACTTTTATATACCCCCACACACACGTGTGTGTGAAAGAATTTTGTGGGAAAAAGTGATGAGACAAAAGGGGGTATGGCCTAGGGGTGCTACATTAGTAAGGTTATTTATATATACCAATCACAGCATCCATTCTGAGTCATTGATGACAAGTGTTATCTTCTCATATTGGTACAGGGAAGGCATCTTCTCATAGAAACTTTTACGGCTTTCTATAGGTAAAGCCCTTCCTACAACTGTTGCTTCTCAAATGCCTAACAGCTTGAAAATATTTATGTTAAAGAGATTTATTTTGATGTAACATAGCCTTGTTTCCTTCACTTTCCAACAGTCTGAATTTGGATACTCACCTTCCAACGTCCATGTCATTGGCCACAGTCTGGGTTCCCATGCTGCTGGGGAGGCTGGAAGGAGGACCAATGGGACCATTGGACGAATCACAGGTTGGTCACAAGAGCAAAAACTAAAATTAGACTATGGGCAGCTTGCATAGGATCAAAAAAGAAATACAGGAGAGAAGTTTGGTGTAACCTGCCTTGTACTGGGCCACATTTTCTGAGTTGGGCTGTGTGATCATTAACAAGGCCTTGTGGATTTGTTGTTGGTATTGGCCCTTGGTATACAGTGCCCACTTTGAAACATTCCATGTGTCTTAAATGAGAATTAAGACCACATGTCTCACAAAAGACAATAGCAAAAGTAAGAGAATAAATAGACTTCAACCCACAGAGTTCAGTTTTGTTCTGCTTCAACTAAAGAGCCCCATGTCAACAGAGCTGGGGGAAATGGAGATAGATAATCAGGTTTGCCTGGCCTACCAATTTTTGGTACTACTAAATAGATTTAGAATGTTATTTTACAAATGTCACACTGGCTGCATTAGGCCAATGGAGTCACAAGTATCCTAAAACAATCCTGTAACCTTATGAGAAAGATGTTGCTATCCTGGATCTGAGGCACGACTACTTCAGGGAAGAACTACTTTTCTCTTCCATCCTCCAAGTTTCTGTTTTGACCTAGTCATTCTTTTTTTTAATACTTTAGATACGTTGGTTGCAATTGGAATGATAGGAGCATCTGTCTACTAGCTTGTAACAAAGAAGTTCTAGAGTATTCTTTCCCATAGTTTATAACGTTGATCACAGCCTGCGCAGACAGGCGCCAGACCACTTCTAGCTGTGGACTCAGTGACCAGGACAGCCAAGATCCTTGCCCTCCTGGGATATTACAATCTTGTGGGGACTCTTCACTCAAACAGCTGTTAGTCCAGTGTCCCCCAGGGTCTGCATCTTTTCTGGTGATTGGTGTTAGTGAACAAGATTCTCCCATAAGTAGAGACAAAATTTGTGTTGGGGAATATTCACTTTCAGACCAACAGCAAAGTGAAAGCAGATTTCCCTCCAGAAAACAGTAAGGTGAGGAAAAACTTGTTCATATCTTCCCACTGTTAAGTTGTGATTAGAGCCAATACTCACATATTCACATTCAAGTCTATAACTAATGAAGAAAAGTGAATATGCATAAACCCTGATTTACGCGGTCTGTTTGTTGTTTTAGGGCTGGATCCTGCTGAACCTTACTTTCAGGATACACCTGAAGAAGTTCGACTGGACCCCAGTGATGCCCAGTTTGTGGATGCCATTCATACAGATGCTGTCCCCATGGTTCCCAACATGGGTATGTTCCATGACTTGTCCTTTTGGCAGGTTTTGAGTCTACAAATTAGAGTGTTTTAGAGTGTCTTGAGTCTATATCATACCATAAACTTTTCTTTATTTTAAAAATTCTCCAGGATTAGGAATGAGCCAAACTGTGGGTCATCTGGATTTCTTTCCAAATGGAGGAGAGGAAATGCCGGGATGTCAGAAGAATGTTATCTCTCAGATTGTTGACATAGATGGAATCTGGGAAGGTAAAACTCTTACGTGTACAAAGAGATTTTCATTGGGAAAAGTGTGTGTTTTGTTTGCCAAACTTACTAAATACTTTGGAATTGTGCAGCTTAAAAAGATTTTTAACTGCATCCTTGAGGTATAGGATCCTATGGGGACAAGTGGACATGAGGAAACCAAGGGCAAGAAAATATATTTGCCCTCAACTTGCCAAGGAATTCATGAAATACATTATTCCATTCAGGGACTGCATTATCAGTTGTACATGTATCTGTATGAACCAGTCTTTCCCTTCTTGAGTCATTTTTCCTTTTCACTTAACAATAACATTGGTTATTATAAGTTGAAATAGTACTTAATATTTGACTATATCACGTATCATAAGTATACTTTGTAAGTGATCTTGTGCCATAACCTCCAGGAGTTCATACTAATTAGGGAAATCTGTTCAATCACTATTCTGATCATGACATAAACTTGCAAAGATAAAATCATCACTGATGTGTAATCAGCTTTGATTTTACAGGAACTCATGACTTTGTGGCCTGTAATCACTTAAGAAGCTACAAGTATTATGCTGATAGCATTGTCAACCCTAACTGGCTTTTCTGGCTTCTCGTGTTCGTCTTATAAAGACTTCCATGCCGTAAGTAGACACATTGCAGCTTCTCTTGACTGGGATGGCACACTGTACAAAGCATGGTTAAATGGATATTTTATCACGTCTCTGCATATCTGATAAATGCTCAAATTTGTTTTATAAATAATCTTAAATAACAGAAATAAAACAACTAGTCTGTGGACATCTTAACTGTGTTTATAGGATGTTATGAACACTGAAAAACTTTCTTAAATGCTATCCTTTTAAATTATGGATTTAGGACAGGGGAAGATTCCTGCACAGTTTCATAATATTCAATAATTCTGTAAATATCCTCCTGATATCCAGGTTGAATTGTTACGTGTGTTCTTGGATACAAAATATCTATTGTCAGTTGTTTTTGTAAAATTAACTTTCCTTCATACTATATTTTTTTAATTAGTGCTTTAACATAAGCCCTTTAATAAAGAAAATTTCAAATTAAGTATATCATAGGGGCAGTTATAGTTGGCAAGTAAGTATACTTTGGTGATTAAGAGAACCAAAATTCAGATTTCACCATTAAGTAAATGACTTTAAACAAGCTACCTCACTTCCATAAGGGAGTCTCTTTATTTATAAATGCAAGTAATAATGGTAGACTCAATATATTTGGTAGGAGAAGTTAGGAAAGTTATTTATGTTAATTACTTAACCCAGAGCAAAAAAATAGTAATCATTAGTAAATATTGGCTGTTATGAGGAAGGGAGCACATATTTTATTCCCAGTATGTATGAAGTAAAAATACACAATAACGCAGAAAACTCTCTTTGATCTTTCTTTGGTTTAATACAGTTTTTCATCTTCCTCTATATCCAAGAATAGATAATGGAGAAAACAACAACAACAAAGCTTTAAGTCCCATTCAGTTAACACATAGCCTGATTCAATCATAAAAATAATCCTTTTAGGTGGCGCTAAGTATTTTTACAAAAATAACATCTCAGTCTTACTGATTTCTCCTGCCTTTGTGTCCTCTTTCTCTTCAGCTTGTCCCCATGCTGGTGCTAGGGCAGTGGTGGTCAGTGTGTGCTGCACTGAGGGAGTGACTGGGGTTCTGTTGGTGCACTTGCTCCTGCTCCTATGGTCTCTGAGCCATACCCCTGTCTGCTTGATATGAGGATGTAGCCCAGTGCTAGAGTGCTTGCCTTTCACTCCTATGACCCTGGATTCAAGTCCTATCAAAACCAGATAAATACATACATTTAAAAAATCTAACCACCCCACAGGGAAATAAATGTGTTAGGGCAGATGGTGCAACATAGGCACAGGGGAAAAATAAATACATGAATCTAAATTCTTCCGCTTTGTAGTTTATATAGCATTGTATTATCTAACAGTGAAATTGCTGATTTATCCTTGTAAATAATGAGATGCATTGCTATCCTTTGCTGAACCACTGCTGCAGTCCCCATTACAATCAGAACAGAATAGTCTTTAGAATACTTGGGTCGTAACAATATGTAGGAAAGATGATCCACAATCAAAAGGAAGATACTCTCATTTGTTGTTTGTTCTCACTAGAATAAGTGCTTCCCCTGTGCAAGTGGAGGATGTCCCCAGATGGGTGACTATGCTGATCAATTCTCTGGAAAAATTAGTGGAGTGGGCCGGAAATTTTATTTAAATACTGGCAATGCCAGTAATTTTGCTCGTAAGTTTCTACTTTATTTACCTTAAATTCTAAGTATTGGGTGTTTTATCATGTTCACTGATAATGTATGAAATTAAAGCCCTCGACACCCCTCCCCAATGTGAAAAATGTCCAGTGCCATGTTTAATGTCTACTTGGAATAAGAGAACAGAATTTGAGGCCTGAATTATTAATGAGACAAAAAAAAATCTCTTCACCTTTGATTCTAGTGTAGAATTCAGAAGGCTTCTTCTGCTCCAACTCTTTTGTATGAGGTTAGAAGTTTTGCTAAACAGAATCCTGTGGCTTTATAGAGTTGGAAAACTAATGCCAGAAAAAGATGACAGAGGTAGTCGGAATAAAAAAATGCTGAAGGATTCAAGAAATATTTAGGATGGTAGCTTCTATGAGTCATGGGAACTAAAGGGTGTGGGAATGGTGAGGCATGAGAACAGGTTCTAAATTTCCTTCCTGAGTAAACAACTTGGATGGAATTGCAAAAATTGTAAAAACTGAAGACTAACTTTATCCCATGCTCAATTCGACCAAGCTACTAGTAAATGAAAACCATGGTAGTTGACTATTGACAGGTACCAAGGAAGAACATGTGTGTGTGTGTGTGTGTGTGTGTGAGAGAGAGAGAGAGAGAGAGAGAGAGACTAGGAATGAAACTCAGGGGTGCTCTATCACTGAGCCCTTTTTATTCTGAGAAAGGGTCTCCCTAAGTTGCTCAGGCATGTACCATGGCACCCAGCAGGAATTTTCTTTTGATTACCTGTATTAGTACAGTTCCAAGGGCAGTAGAAAGTTATAGGATTTAAAAAAATAAATAAAGACTATTTAGACCAAAAAAAATCATAGAACTCTAAAATTTGATGGACAATGAAAATAAAACAAACTGATTAAAATGTCACACTTTTTCCACTACTCTTAACATAAAACTCTTAAACCATTCAGTAACAAATAGGTTAAAAATTTTTAAGCAACACATATCATGTAGGCCCTTAGCTTGAAAAACTGCCCACTAATTTTGGAAACATTCTGTACATCCCCCAGTCTCCAACACCAGTCCCCTGAACCCTTAGATAAAGAAATGACTAAGACTATTTCATTAGGAGAATTACTAACAACATATATAAACTATCCAAAATTCTCTAGTAGCGGGATCTAAATTAGCTGGTTTTCTCTACATATTGACATTTTGCAAACTTTTTCCACTGCGCAGGGTGGAGGTATCAGGTAGCCGTCACGCTGTCTGGAAAGTCCATTACAGAACACGTGCTCATTTCTTTGTTTGGAAATGGAGGGAACTCTAAGCAATATGAAATTTGTAAGTGAGTAAAATATGATTTTACGTATTTCAGTGTTTGAACACTGTCCATGTGTGATGTATGATACTGGCAGAAGAGTTTGTTTATTCATTAACATGCAGAGGAGTAGTACTGTCACATAATAAAAAGGAAAAACTTTCTGCACTTTTACATCTTGATAAATTTCAGAAGTCTAGCTCTAAATTTTGTCCGTATTTCCTGAGAAAACCATTAATGTTTACTGTGTTAGTCAGCTTTTCATCACTATGACCAAATGCCTCAGAAAAACAATTTAAAGGAAGAAAGGTGTATTTGGGCTCATAATTTCAGAGGTTTCAGTACATTGTTAACTGTCTCCATTACTTTTACCTTGTGGTGAGAAAGAACATCACAGGAAAAGGCTGTGGTGATGGAAAGTTGTTCACCTCATGGCAGTCAAGAAGCAGATAGAGCTGCATTATATACCTAAAATGTACCAATAAACTCAATCAGGAAAAAAAAAAAGAAGCAGATAGAGAAGGGAAGGGTGGAGACCCAGAAAGCTACTTAGAAAAAGTTATAACCTTCAAAGCGGTGCTCCCAGTGACCACCTTGTGCGACTAAGCCCCATCTTCCAGGACGTTCATTGAGCTATAAATTCATCAAGGATTTAATCCATTTGATGAGTTTAGACCCCTCACCATCCATTCGGTTCCCTGAACTCCATCATGTGGTAACCAGGCTTTCAACACAGTAAGGTTTTTAAGAGACATTTTGGATCCCAACCCAAACAACTTGAATGCCTAGCATCTGAGCTATACATCGTAATTATTCTCTTTAAAAAACTGAAAAGGTGACATGTTGATGAGAAGATTGTGGCCAAAACATATTTGTAGCTTTATTAAACTTATGATGACTTTAAAGTAAAAGAATCATCGAGGGCAAACCTACCACTGAGTTAACATATATGTATGCATTTAGTTAGAGATGTATCATAAACTGGTTTGGGAAATGTATATGTGTGTATATGTACATATATATTTACCTGCGTGTTAATTTGTGTATATATTGGTATTTGTTCATGCATTTTTTTTAATGTCTTAACTTCCCAGGGGCTCTCTCCAACCAGGAAAGACTCATACTAATGACCTTGATTCTGACGTGGACGTCGGGGACATAGAGAAGGTTAAATTTCTTTGGTATAACAATGTGATCAACCCAACCCTACCCAAAGTGGGAGCATCTAGGATCACAGTGACTAGAAATGACGGATGAGTGTAAGTAGTAAAAATCAAAGGCATGAGAAAGATCAAGTCATGTTTAAATTATATCCCCATTAAAATTCTCCTTTAAGTTAAACCTCCTATGACAGTTCATTATGCCCCAGCCACAGCTGATTCCTAATTCATTCTTTGTCTTTAGAAGAAAGTACATCACTTTAAGAAAATTTTTGATAGATTTATTGCTAAAAAGTGCTGCATGATCTGATACAAATTGAGGGTTAAAATGGAAAACTGGCTTCATGATCCTAAGGTAAAAAGGATGTTTCATTTGCTAAGTAAGGTTTTTGCTAGGTGCGTAATTAATGTGCTTATATTCCAAAAATTCATGGGTCCACTAAATTGCCACTTAAATTGTCAGGAGTTAAGTTCACCTATCGTGGACAAAAATAAGCCGTTCTGTATTATAAGTCTTCTTGATGAAAACAAGGACCCAGGAGATCAATCCTTGGTTCTAACCACAACTAGAATTTGTGTGAGCCAAAGGATGCTTACCAAGTTGAACTACCAGAAAAAGGAACTGATGGTAATCATACTAATCAACATTAGATCAAGAATTTTTGAGTATGTAGCTAAATTCTTAGGCAAAGAGCTTTTTCTATCATCAATACATCTCATCCTCACAAAAACCCAATGAAGAAACTTTTGCTCCTAGAAAAGATCGAGTAAAAGATAACACCTTTACCTTCTAAACTGAAACAACCAAAAATTCAGACAAACTATGCAACACAACAGTTTTCAAGTTACTGAACTTTAAGCCATAAAGAACAATGATGCTAGAGAGAAAATCAAATAAGGTAGAGCTTTAACATTGCCCCAGCTTACTGGTTTAAGAGAATTTCCAGGGTGTGACACAGGCAGAGATATTCAGGCAAGTATATGCCAGGATATGCCAGTGCTCTGTAAATTGAGGTGACAGAGTTAAGAATCAAAGAATCTGAGGCAGATGGCTTCATAACACAGCTTAGCAGAGAGCTCAGAGGCAAAGGCCTAGAGTTCTGGAAAGACCCTGTGAATAGACAGCACAGTGCTGATCAGCACACATATGTAAGCAAAGTAGCCATGGCCAGGGAAACAGCCACTTGGAAGGATTGGAGAACAGTTCCCAGTGCTCTGGCAGGGCTGAGAACAGTGCTATTTTCCATCAACCAGACTGGAAAAGCTTATAATGCAAGAGAGATTGGGTATGGTATTTAGGCATGTTTTGTTTCTCAATGGGAAATGATTAGTCTAGATTTAGAAGACTATGAAATAATCAAACTGTTTCCAAATAGCTGTGTTTCAGAACGAAGCTTAATAGTATTCATAGAGATACAAAATTATCTGGTAACTAACAAGATTAAATCTACTGTATCTGCTGTTAATTCATGGATTCTCAGCTAGGCAAATAGCAGGACAACATAATCCATAATGGGGAAGATAATCAATGAATTGGTACCCAGCCAGAATTGGCACAAATATCATAATAGTAGTCAAGGACATTAAAGCAGTTATTAAACATCTTTTCCAGTTATTCAAAAAGGTCAGAAGAAGTATTACATGTATTTAAAAATATCAACTTGAACTTCTAGAGATTATAAAGTACAATGTCTCACATAAAAAATAAACTGAATATGACTAACAGCATTTCAGATCAGAAAGTAGTGAAGTTGAAGTTATGATAGAATGCATTAAAAAATGAAACAGAGTAAGAAAAAATTTAATGCAAAGAACATCAGTGGCTTGGTGAGAACATTCAAGAATGTTAATGTACTTGTCTTTGAAGACCCCAAAAGAGGAAGGACGGAAGAATATATTTGAAGAAATAATAGTTCTTCAACTATCAAATTTGGTGAAAATTATAAAACAATGAATAAAAAGTCACAAGAACATGAAGAAAACAACACTAAATGCATCTAAATCAAATTACTGAAAACTGGTTATAAAGAGGAAATCTTAAAGGTACCCAGAAGAAAAAAGACATATCACATACAGGAAAATAAAGGTAAATATAGAGCATATTTCATATAAAAAGCCAGAAGAACAGTATCTTTAAAATATTAAAAGAAAACATTCTTAACCTAGAATTTATACTCACAAATTTTCAAAGGCAAAAATGAAGCAAAGACTTTTTAGACATACCCACAATGAAAGATTTTTATGATTAACTAGTCAACACTTCAAGAAATGTTAAAGGATGAACTTCAGGCATAGGAAAATCTTTCGCGTGAGAAGGAATCCAAGAACACAAAAAATAATGATTACATTGCAAATGCATAATATTCTTAACTATTATTTAATTTTCTTTAAGATAATTTACTGTTGAAAAATAATGACAACACTTAAGAGTGTTTTATGTTATTAGATAAATGATAACAATGCCACAAAGGAGAAGAAAGGAGAAATGGAGATATACTATTAAAATGTTCTTATATCAAACATGAATTGGTATACTATCACTTGAAGTTAGGATGAAATAAATTAAAAATATGTGCTACCAATTCTAAAGCAACTACTAAAATAATAGCAGAAAGAATTATACCCAACCAATTAACCAGATGATAAAATGGAACAAAAAATAATTTAAAATGTAGCGTAAAAAGAAGTAAAAATGAGCAAAGTCAAGGGGGCAAAAAGAAAAACTGAAACACAACAAACTTAGACCTAAGTGTATTGACAATCATATTACATTTAAAGAGTTGAAACATAATTATTGTCATATTGGTTTTTTAAAAATTAGTATCCAATTGTATTTTTCCTATTTGAAATCCATTATTATAAAATAGATTTCACAAATTGAAAAGACAAAAAAAAAAAGGTATGCTAGGTCATTAGGAAAATGTAAATTAAAAACACAATGAGATATCACCATAAACCTATCTAAATGCCTAACATGGAATAGATTGACACTACCAAGCATTGTACTATAATGAGAATTTAAAATAAAATGATACATCCATTTTGGAAAACAATTTGGCAATTTCTTAACCTGCCAAACATACACCTACCTTTGTTTCAACTGTACCTCTCTCTGGTTCGGTGTCCTCACTTCTTGTTTCTCACAGTCAATGATGATGGAAATTTCCACATGGAAATTTTCCAATAGAAAATTCCAGATATAAATAATTTGTGAATTTTAAATTACATATTTTTCTGAATAACAATGAAATCTCACACTGTCCCATTCCATTGTTGTTTGGACAAGAATTATCCCTTTGCTGCATATACTTCTGATGCATTTGTCACTTTCTTGGTTATTGGATTGATTGTCAATGTATTAAGGTCTTGGGCTCCAGGTCTTATTTTATTTAACGTCCCAGGGCACCAGAAGAATTCTGCTGGAGATTTTATTTATTTTTCTTTTATTATTAATCTCTTACTGTGGTTAATTTATAAATTAAATTTTATCAAAGATAGGTATGTACAGGAAAAAAGAAGTATACATGAGATTCAGTACTATGTACAGATTTAGGCACCCACTGGAGGTCTTGGAAATACTAAAGTAAGACTGGCATGTACCTAAGAGAAAAAAAGCCTATGTTTGCCCAAAGATTTGTGCATAAATACCCACAATAGCTTTATTATAATAGTCAAAATGGAAGACAACCCAATCTGTGGTCTATCCATGCAATTGAATACTTTCCTATAGTGGTAAGAAACGAACTCGTATTATGTGCAACAACGTGGATGAATCTCAAAACAATTATACTGAATGAAAGAAGCTAAACAAAACTGTGTGCACACCTTTGATTCATTCATAAGAAGTTTTAGACAATTCAAATTACAGTACTCTATAGGAAATAGGCAGCATGTTACCTGAGGGAAGGGAAAATGGGAAAAGATAGGAAAGAGGAATTACCAAGAGTCAGAAAGAAAATTTGGGAGTCAATGGTAGTCTTTACTACTTTGATTTTTTGATGATTTCAGAGGAATGTGTGAGAGTAAGAAAGAGGAAAAAATATTAATTTAAATGAGTAGTGCATTCTGGGTCAGCTAATGCTTAATAGAAATGCATACCCTGTGAGATAGACACCATCGTTAACCCACAGAAAACCATGCAGATTCAGTGCCAGAATTCAAATAGAGACAGTAGGACTCCAACAAGTCCTTAAGTATCACAAGACAAATTCAGTGTATACGTATTGTTCACATATAAGTATTACGTACCGTTCATTTCTTGTGTTCTTTACTAACATTAGTTTTTAGCACTTTAATGTGACATTTGTAAAGCTGCCTGCCATCAAACCACAGGAAGGAAAATGAAGATAATGAAGAAGAAAAAGCATCTTCTGAACAACTTTCCAGGGCCAGACACTTTACATATATTTTATTAGAGAAAATTAGCTCCAAAATGATTTAAGTATTGTTTAGTCAAATGACAAAATTAGTTATTTTCGGTTCAATTATTGAATTAAAGTAGGAATGTCTAGCAAACATTAGGACCTTTGAGTTCGATGCAAGGCAGATCTTATCACACTGTTGACTCTGCCCTTCTTGGTTGTACTGGCTGACTTGTGCCAAGTGTTAGCAGCTGCTTTGTGGACATGACAAAAGAGTTCTTCCTGACCCCGGGGCAGTCTACTGGCCACTTGTCTCTCTGCTTTTTGAACCACTGTGAAACAAACTTGGAAAAGAGAATTCAGTTTTTTATAAAGAGTACATCTTCTCTCAGTCAGTGTTCAGTTTGGGCATGAAGTGCATCTGATTTTTGAAACAGAGAGGAGGGCGGTTACTGTCATGTCTAACAGTCCAGCTGGGACCCAGAAGGAAGTGACCTTTGTTGTTTTCTCTCCACAGGTTTAACTTCTGTAGTTCAGACACTGTGAGAGAGGATGCTCTGCTCACCCTCAGCCTGTGTTAGGAGCTGGGTGTCACGTGACCACTGGATCTTACTGCTAATAAAACGTAGTGGTGAGGCAAAACATTCTG